AGTGCTGCCGCTCTCTGCTCTTCCCGATGGTGGCTCTGCCCTGGGCCTGACTCCCACTTCCCTTTCTGAGGCGAACAGGAGGCCTGACCCCAGCAGTTTTTCAGGGGCTCTTGCCCTCCAGAAGCCTGATGTGCACTGTTGTGCACAGACTGTGCAGCCAGTGTGCCTCTGCAGGTGTGGGAGGTGGCTCAGGGAGGGGTGCTGCAGGACCACCATGGGTGGCTCTATGGCTTGCGAAGCATGGGCCCTGTGTGTTTAGTCAGAACAGCATGCTCAGCCCTGAGGGCCCTACCACCTTCTGGGGAGTTCTCCCAGTCTCCTTTGCTTGAAGTTGGGTCAGTGGCTGTGCAGATGGAAGGGGCCTGAGGCCTGGGGAGGTATGGCTGGGCTGGGTTTTGCTTTGCATACCCATTGCTCACTGTTTAGTCGCAGGCCTCAGAGTGTCTCTGGGTAAGGCCTGAGCCTGCTGCCAGATGTGAGGTTGGCCTCACAAGCAGAGCTGCTGTGCAAGGTTTGCTTGGGCTAACCTGCAAGGACTCTGAGCTTTGGGAACTCTGTCCCTTGGGGAAACCCTGCTGTGATCACCCAGAGAATCAGGCAGCTTTGCGAACACTCTTCCTGCAGGTGAATTTTTGAAACACCTGCAACATTGAAAAGAGGCTCTTCTTTCCCAGACCTTGGTCAGTCTTGGGCTGGTTCTTCCTGCCCTGGGGGAGCCTTGGCTGCAGGGCTGTTCCTGGGGAGACCCGGGTACACTCTGTGAGGCCTTTGGCAGGAGCCACCTGGCTATAGTGCTTTCTTACCAAGGCTGAGAACTTTGACTCTGTGCTGTTGTAATGCCACCTGTGACATTACCTGTGTATTTATGCCTGTGACCAGTGTCATTCCTTGTGTGTGTAGCCAGCCCTGAACCTGTGTCCTGTTTCAGACTCTTCCACCAGGGGGTGCTGTGGCCCATGACAGACCAAGGCAAGGCCTGGCGGCCCTGTGGTCGCGAAGGTCATGAAGGAGGGCACGATAAACCTGCTCTCTGACTGGATGCCCTCCTTAGAACAGGTGTTTCTGACTCCATCCACATGGGGACTGGTGTCGAGCTTAGCACATGAGCGGGAGAGGGCTGTGGGGCTGATGAGTCCTCTGGCCTCTGTGAAGCTCACAGGTCAGCCCTGTCCCTAGGAAGTTGACCTGGTGAGAGGAAACTAGTTCCTGATGTGTTTCAGGGCTTCCCTTTGATACAAATAGTGCACCTGGCGCCCTGGGCTATGGTTGATGCCCCTCCTCCCAGGGCTGCAGGAGTCTCTTCACCCCATTTTATGTGCCGACCCTCACCTCTGCTCAGTTCCCCTTCTGTGAGCAGAAACATGCAGAGCAGCCTCTCGAGTGGCCCTGCACCCTGAACCATATACTCACCTCTTGACTCCCGAGTTGACTGGCAGAGAGGACCCTGTCAGAGAGACTTGACGGCACACTGGTGGGCTCAGGGTTTCCAGGGTGGGCAGGTGGGCTGATACTATTTTGTGCAAGTTTTCATGATGGACAGCCTCGGGCGGTGTAGCAGGCACTGTGGACTGGCAGCTTGTGCACCACAGTTGAGTTCTCATAGTTCCACAGGCTGAAAGCCCATGGACAGGGTGCTGGACTCATCAGGTTCCAGTAAGAGCTGACCTCCTCATTGTGACATGACGGAAAGAGGGCTCCAGAGCTTGGTTGTCCCATTCATAAGGATGCTAGCAGCACCACAGGGTTCCACTTTCACAGCCTGCTCACCTCCCAAAGATTCACCTCCTGACACCAACACGTTTAGGACTACAGCATATGAATTTGGGAGTTAGAGTTCTCACACATTGCTGTTCAACAGAAGTCCAGCATCAAGGGAAATGTGGGAGGAAGAGGCCCTGCCAAGGGACAGCGTTTTAATGCCCAGGAGATGGTGTGGTCCTGCTGGAGGGGCTCCTGTGAGGGGGTCCTGGGCTGCTGACCCACCCTTCTGGTGGGGCATATGTCCTGGTCAATCACCCACCCGGGGTCTGCCAGGAGCCTGGCTAGCAGGGTGAGGCCACAGGGGGAAGGCTGAGGCTCCATGGCTCTCTAGGATTGTGCCCTTCCCAAGGTCCACCCAGCCCCACAGCACCCCTGCCTGCACCTTTATCCTGTCCCTGGATGGGGACAAATCCAGCTTCCATGAGCCTTGTTTTTTTTCTTTTGTGCAAAGGGAGACATAGAACCATCCCGGTGGGGCTGTGGGTAGGGCTGGTGTGTATGTGGGGCTCAGTCAGGAAAGCCTGGGCACAAGAGTTGTTTCAGACTATTCCACCAGGGGGTGCTGTGGTCACATGGCAGACCAAGGCAAGGCCTTGAGGCCCTGAGGTCATGAGGGTAGTGAGATTTGGGCACTTTCCCCCCCGGGGTGAGGCTCTCCCTGGGACCAAGAGCCAGAATGTGGGGGTTTGGAGGAGTGAGCTGTTCAGGGTGGCCCCCCTACCCAATAGTAGGAGTCTCTGGTGGGAGGACTAGGCTGGCTTGGGCAGGACCCTGATAAGTCTGTCTTTGGTATCACTGGGCCCTGGCTGTGTCTGTCTCTTGGTCCCCATGGTGCTCCCAAGGAGCTGAGGAGGGAAGGGGAGGCAGCTCCCTTTGTTGGGCTGTGGATGGGGGCAGGAGCCATAAACAAAATGTGATGGGGCCTGTTCTTGTACGTGGCCCTCCCCAAGCCTGGCAGCTCTCCAGGGCGCCTGCCTCCTGCTCTTCGCACCCACTCACCCCCTCCTCCAGGCTCATTATTCAGTGCTGTGCTCCTGGTTCTGCTGCCACAGCAAGATGCAGCCTCCGCCTGGGTCCTGAGGAGTTCTCGGGCCTAGGAACAGCGTGCTTGAAGTGGTAATCAGGCTGTTTGCGAGGTGTGACAGCCCAGGCACAGCTCGTTCTCTCTGTGGAGTGGTGGGTGTGGATGGTGGTTAAGAAGCACCCTCAGCCCCTCAGGGCGAGGGGCTGGAGCTGCTTAGGCTGAGAGCAGTGACTCTTCACTAGGCCTCAGTTGCCCCACGGGTGGCTGGGAGCCGAGGAAGCTGGCATCTCTGTCTCCGTCGGTGTCTGTTCCCATGGTGGTGACGCTGCTCCACTGCGCATGCGGGCATGTCAATCATTTAAGGAGTGTTCAGCTAAACACTGTAACATGAGGTTTCTTAATCTTAACCTTACCCTAGCCATCCTATCCCCCTTCAAGACTGAGGCAAGATGTGCAGCATTCAGTTTCAGACCCGGGAAGTCTTTAGTGCTGTCCTAACTCTTCCAGGCACTATCGGAGGAAGGCATGGCTCCCCAAAGGGGACACCCCCACCCTGAGCAGGAGCAATTGTCTCGTGGGAGCTGATGGCTCCCGCACAGGACCACAGGTCTGATAAGATACACGTCCTGAGCAGCAAGCAGAAATTGATCAGGACTTCTCTGGAGCCATCTTGCCAAATCAGAACTGAAATCACTATGGGCCAGACCACAGCCTGTCCAGGACTGCTTAATTACGCAGGCCTCTTGCCCTGGCCCCAGTTCTTCCTCCATTTAAATCTAAAGCTTCTGTCAGCATCTGTTAGGCTTGGGATGCTGGATCTCACTTTGCCTTCCCAATGTGACCACAGTGATTAAAATCTCCTGCTTTTCACCATGACCTTTTCTGTTTGGTTTTTGGGTGAGTGGCCAAAATCGGACAGGCCTGTAGCCCAGGACCCCAGGAACATTCCTATCTAGTATACAGCATATGCCAGAGACGGTGACAAGTGACTTCTGAGAAGACTTAAGAGATGTCCAGGCTTCCTATTGGAGCTCTAGGATCAACTCCCTGGGGGACTGGGGCCAGCTTGGAGGCCCTCAGTCTGTGGAGGGTCCATGCATATCCTCAGCCCCTATGCAGCCTCCAGAGGACCTGAGTCCACCGCGTCCCGACTGGACAAGGGAGACAGAGCCAGAACCACCCAGAGAGGCCACTCCTGCTTCCTGACAGCGAGCAGCAAAAACAACATTGATTTTTTTTTGTAGCTCTGGGTTTTGCAGAAACAGCAATAGGTCTCACATGCAATGTTGGGCTAGGGAAGATGCCAGGTAGAGATTACAGTTAAGTTGTTGTTTGGGGCTCATGGAGGCAGGGAGGGGACAGTGAGGTGGGCTGGCACTGTTCTGGACTTAGGTCCAGTGGGGGAGGGGGCACCTTCTCTGGGGTGCCTCGGAAGTGGTGAGGGCTGAAACCTACCGCATGATGCTCCATGCCGTAAGGCCAAGAGCCAGGGTGCCCAGAGTGACTAGTCTTTGGGCAGTCATGGCCTCTGGACCCCTGAACTGTGTGTGCATCCCTACCCTGGAGGGAGATCCAGCACCCAGCTCTGGACCCAGGCCCACCCAGGAGAAGGGAGTTTTGGATACCTGCTCCTCCAAGGGCCTACAGCCTCTAGACTGTGGGGGTCCAGAGGGCGTGGTGCTGCAGCAGGTCACCAGGGCCTCCAGAGGGCGTGGGCCTCCTGGTGGATGTCCCTGGGCTTCAGGCCAAGGTGGATTTTTGTGGCTTCCTTTGATGTCCTTGTCCTCAGCCTTGGCAGCAACACTTGGCTGTGCTGCCCGAGGTGCCCACAGTATGGTCACATCATAGTCCCATTTGGGTGGAGCCTAGGAGAACACGGTGCTGGCTCCAGGACAAACTCATAGTTCAGGGTCCTTCCCCTACCGATTGCGGTTCTCAGGTTCCTGGGTTCCAGAGAGGACATGGATGGGACCATCTGGGGGCCATCTGCTGGTCCCTCCTGTGTGTGTGACCAGGCTTGGGTGCCTTCTGCTGGGACCGGAGTCTCTGCTTCTGTCCGTGCAGGGCTGTCCAGAAGCATGGTCTTTCTGTGGTTGTCTGTGCAGGGTTGGTGTCTTCTGTATGGAGAGCACAGGGCCATGATGGGAACAGTATGGACACCCCTGGCTGGGGTGCTGCATCTGGGAGGAGAGGGAAGGGCTGGGCACCAAGGCCCTCAGCACAGGAATGTGGTACGGAAATTCTTGCGGAAGCCATGGTCCAGGAAGGCGTACAAGAAGGGATTGAGGCATGAGTTGGCGTAGCTGAGGCTGGTGATGGCGTAGGAGATGCCGATGACCACGGATGTCTGGGGCATGTCGGTGGTCAGGGCCACCACGGAGGCCAGGTGGAAGGGCGTCCAGCAGAGGAGGCAAACAGCCAGCACCGTGAGGACCAGGGCAGTCACTTTCCGCTTGGCCTTGCCCAGAGCCTTGGTGCCAGAGCGGAGTCTCACGGCCCGCAGCCTGCGCAGCAGGTCCACGTAGAGCCCACAGATGGTGCACACAGGCAGCACGAAGCCCAGCACCAAGGTGTAGATGCGACTGGCCTGGAACCAGGCCCGCTCTGGCTTTGGGAAGCTCAGCCCACAGCTGGGCACCTGCAGCTCATTGCTGTATACGCCAGCAAAGGAGAAGAAGGGCAGAACCAGGACAGTGACAGCGACCCAGACACACAGGCTGGCAACCTTTGCCACCCGCGGGGTGCGCCGGGGCACGCGGCGGGACCGCACGGTGGCCAGGACCACCAGGTAGCGGTCCACGCTCATCAGGGCCAGAAAGTAGATGCTGGAGAAGATGTTGCAGTGGTCGATGGCCAGCACGAGCTTGCAGAGCAGCTCCCCGAACGGCCAGCGCTGCAGCAGGTGCTCTGCGATGTTGGCAGGCAGCACCAGCACGAAGAGCCCGTCTGCGACGGCCAGGTTCAGGACAAGCACGTGGGTCACGGTCTTCATCTTGGGTGCCCTCAGGATCACCAGGATGACTGCCGCATTGCCGGCTATCCCCACGACACAGATCACGGTGTACACCGCTGGCAGCAGCACGTAGAGTGCCCATAGCGGCTGGGGGAAAGTGGTGTTGGGCTGGGTGCCGTTGTCCTGGGAGAGGCTGGTGCCCACTGTGGCAGCAGAGAAGGAACTCCCACTGCCATTGACCTCTGTGTGCCTGGCTGACTGCATTGTCTTGGGGCTGGAGGCAGGTTCTGGGCAGGGGTCTCCTTGGGCTGGATTCTGGGAAATAAATAGCCAGAAACTTTGGGTTCTGGCCACCAGAACAGTGGCCACCTCAAGTTCTCTGGCAGAGGGTGCCACCACTCCACCAGGCCAAGAACACTTGGGAGTCATTCTGTCCATCCTGGTCCTGAGGCAGGCAAGAACCTATTGGGTGAGGGGTCTCCTCTGGGATGGCAGGCACATTGGGCAGCTCAGCAACCTTCCCTAGACCCTGCTCCTGCTCTGCGAGGTCAGCCCCACCACCCTCTTGGGAGGCAGATGCTTGGAGCTGTTCCCAGCAGCCCCCACTCTGCCCAAGCACAGTCCACAATTAGAGTGGTCAGGACTGTTGTCCTTTGGCAAATGCACTTCCCAGGGGCATCCCTAGCTGCCTTCAAATCCCAAGTACCAAAGTATCAGAACAAAGCACTTTCCTGCAGAAGTTCCCAGCCTGCACCCTCTCTTCCTCCCTACCACTACTGCAGACCCTGCCAGACTTCTCTCCACTCACCTGTCAGGTGCCTGGGGCCAGAAGTTGGTGACCTTCAGGCTCTGAGTGGCAGCAGAGCTCAGATAGCCTTGGGAGGGAGAAGGGAGGTGGTTGTCCCCTGACAGACTTCCGGCAGGGGTCCTGGTCAGCCCTCACCAGCTGGGAGGGGGATTCCAGGACCTGCCTGCTTGCTGCCGGTTTCCTAGCTAGGCTCTCCTCCCTGTGGCAATGCTGATGCGCAGGCAGGGAGGGAGGGAGGCGGGTCTCTCTTGCTGACGCTGTGAGCCCCAGGAGGCAGCCCCCCCACAGTGCCGTGGTGCCTTGCAATCAACCCATCCAGGGCCTCCTTGGCGCTCACTCGGCTAGGGACTCCCAAGGGGCTAGCTAAGCAGCATGTGCGTCTGAGTCTGTGCGTGCAAGTGTGTGTTGGGAGGGTGGGCCATGCAGGGGCCTCTGGCATTGAGAGCATCTGTGGGTCACCATGGGCCTGGAAAGCCTTACCTGTGTACATGGGTGTCTTATGCCTGATCCTGGGTGTGCACGACATGTGGCACATGCATGTGGGTCCCTGTCATGTGCACAGGGGTTTCTGTGGGTGACTCTACACGGTGTCCGAGGGGGTCTGGGTGTCTTTGGCCTAATGTAGGGCCTGGGGACCATATGTCCTCATGTTGAAACCTGTTGGCTGCAGGCAACACAGCTTCTTTGTGTCTTTTATGTATGGAGCAGAAGCTGGCAGGCCCTGAGATGGTGGAAGGGAGGTCTGCTTCCCTGCCGGCTCCTGTCCACTCACTGGCTCAGTGGCTCATGCAGCGGTGGCAAGTGTGGCACTCTCTCTGGGCTGATCCTTAGGTCCTTCCCTTCTCCCCACCTTTGGCTCCTGGAGCTAGATGTGCCCAGACTCACTCAGCCTAGTGGTGAACAGCAGGGCACTCTGGCAGAGCAGGCTTGGGTGGTAGCCTCAGGAGGTTCCTCGGTGTGGCTGGCTGCAGGAGGCCTGTGGCTGCCCATCAGAGTAGTGTCCACTGCCCTCTGGGTTGCAGCTCATGGTTTCTTCTGCAAGTCGCTCCATCGTTTCTGCTTGTGCTTGTGTCCCCTTGTGGTCTGGACAGGAGCCTGGGAAGTAGCCCTGAGTGCCTGGAAGTTGCAAGGCCTGAGGCCACGTCCACAGGCGCTGCAGATGGGCCCTTAGCTCCCTGCCACGTGCCATGTGGAAATGGAGTCCAAAGGGGGCCTGGCTGGCAGCAGGGCCCGGGGCTGGGCCCAGAGGGATCATCCCCAGGAAAAGCCTAAAGACCATGATTTTGGGGTATTAGGTGGTCTGTTCAAAGCTCCTGAAAACCAGAGACAGGACAGAGAAAGGGGCAGCCTGTAAGTGGTGGCCGTGTCCTCCTTGGCTGTGGGGGGGGGCACAGGCATTGCCAAGGGCATGGGCTTGGCCAGGCAGTGAGGGTCTTGGCTGGGGTGAGGGATTGACCCCACCTCAGCGCAACGGAGGCGTGCATGGTGGGGGCACGTGCTCTCCTGGAGTGGGGCTGACCATGCTGGGCCTGCTCCGGGGTGCTGCTGGTCCCCCCAGCATCAGAGCCAGTGTTGCCTTGAGCACCAGCCTGGGTGGACTTCTGGGCACCCTCTTGCTCCTTGTCTCTCTGCACACACCAGAGGCACTGTTCTTTCTCCAGAGCTGCTGCTCTAGACTGCCTGCCCCCCAGCCCCACGGGGGAATAGCCTACTACCAGAGGGCAGTTCTTAGGGTTCAGACTCCCCCTCAGGGCTTCCCACCATGCCCCTGCTTTGTCTAAAGCAATCCTACTCGTGTTTGGCTCAGCCAGAGCCCCTTCCACACCCTCTCTCTGCCTTCCAACTTGTCCTAGTCAGACCCTCACCAAGGCCATCACATCCAAATCGGGGGGACAATGGGAAGGACAGGCATGGGGAGGGAGGTGATGGGAAGGAAGAAGGGGGTTGGGAGGGAGCTGCTCTGCACATTCCATAATATAATAGGGTTTATCATTCTATAATGCTGTGCCTAGCCTCGAGCTACTCCATTCTCAGTGCAAATGCTAAGGCAGAATGGCCTGTGACTTGTGTGGCTATCAGATGACCACCAGAAGTTGGACATGCAGAAGTCATGGGAAGAGAAACTCCCATGCTCAGCACAATCACAAGGCTTTAACCAATAGATAAATCAATCACACTAGAAAAAAGTGACCACTTGAACTTGCAGAATGAAAACAGAAGCACAAGCTGGGCGCGGTGGCCAAGCCGGTGATCCCTGTGGCTTGGGAGGCTGAGGCAGGAGGATCGTGAGTTCAAAACCAGCCTCAGCAACTTAGTGAGGCACTTGGCAACTCAGTGAGACCCCATCTCTAAGTAAAATATAAAAAAGATCTGGGGATATGGCTCAGTGGTTAAGGGCCCCTGGGTTCAATCCCTGGTACCAACCCCCCCCCCAAAAAAAAAAAAAAAACCCCAGAAGCAACTGCATGCAGGGGTGTACCAACCCAGAGCAGAGAAACCAGGTATCCTGGTGAGTTTGTGGGTCTCGCCGGGTGTGATCCTCACCGGAAACACCAGAAAGGAGAGGTGCCCTGGTAGTGACACAAGCCCTGCCAGACCACCCAGTGGTAAGAAACGCCCCTGCTGCGTGACACTCTACATCTGGGTTGGTTCAGCATCTTTCTGACCACCGCAGTGGCTCTTCTGCATTTGATCTTCTCTCTGGGTGCAGCCTTCTACACCCTAGGGCCACCTTGACCCTGTCTTAGCCTTTCCGTAACCTGCATCACTGTGTAAGGTGTGGTGTGTCTTGAGTGTCATAGATATTAGTAATTAGTGTTGGAATAAAAGAACCTATGATTGTCCAACTGAAGGCCATGAAGTAACCCAGGAATACTCAGTGAATTTCAGAGTGGGAAAGTGGTACAGCCTGTGACTTTACTGTTATTCAATGAAGCTGACACCGTGGAAAGGCACAAATGTCTGGTTTGTATTAATGGCTAGCATGCTCACAGGAGGAGGGGTGGCATTGAGGGGCAGAACGGGTTTGGGAGGCCCAGGGGTGCCAGGGGTGAGTGCTAGGCACTCAGGCCCATTGGGCTGGGGAGGCCCAGGGTCCCAGGGAGGCGCTGTAAGTGCTGGTCATCTGGCCTGAGGCCATGTGTGCAGGGCTCCAGCTGCCTCCTCCCCTTCCAAGAGCTCCAGGGCCACTCTGTGTCCCTCAGCTCCTACCCTGAGGCGCAGGGAACAGCTTTCTTCTGGGTGGGGCAATTAGAGGTCAGGGGTGGAGGCAGCCCTGTGCTAGGTCCATGGGTGGGGTGGGGCAAGGCTGGGTATGTCTAGGTGTTGGGGGTGGGGGGGGGGGACAGGGCCGGTGGCCTGCACTGGGGTGTTGTGTGTGGGGTTTTCACAGGGGCCAGGAGGAGAAGCAGCCTAGGTTTAGGACCAGCCACAGCAAGACCTGGAGAAGGTGCGGAGGCAGTGCCCGGGGGGAAGTGGGGAGTCCAAGGGAGGTGGAGCCCCCTGCCTGGTGTTCAGCTCAGGGGTTCTGGGGGCAGGTAGCTGAGCAGGCTGGGGATGGCAGACAGGTGACAGGTCAGGAGGGAGGGGGGTTGGCCTAGGAGGACACCAAGACCTCCCCTTAGCCCCTGAGTCTCCTCTGGTGAGCGGGGGGAGAAGATTTGACTCCCCTTGCCACCCTGCAGGGTCATGTAGGTGGCAGATCCCCAGCTCAGAGAACTTGGCTGCGAAACTGTGACTCAAATGCACAAACAGGAAGGAGCTGATTGCTCCCCAGGGCCCAGGCCCATCTTAGCCTCACTACTGGGATTGTAGAAGTCAGTCACTGAAGTGCTCCCAGTCCCTGCCCCCAGAGGCCCCATCCAAACAGAAGCGGTGGGAGGTAGTACGCCCACAGCTCCAGGAGCCATCTTCCACACCTGCTTGGCAGGAGCCCAGGCCCCAAACCCAAACAGACCCTGGGACAGCTGTCCTTGCCCAGGGATTCCCAGCAGCTTCCAAACTTGCCCGGTGCTCAGTCCCAGGGGGCTTCACCAAGGGCTCTGTGTCCTTCCTGGGGCATGTCTCTGAGGGTCTTGGTGCACAGGAAGGGGTGGTAAGCACTGCTGAAGATGTAGAGTCCTCCTTGGATAGGAGGGGTCTGGGGGGTCTCACTGTCCCTAGCTGGGGGGCAGTTGTAGTCACTTGTCAGTGGAGGCAAAATGGGCAGGGAGTATGCAGGTGCCTTCAAGTCTCCAGAGAAAGGGGCTCCCAGGCATGTCAGTGTGTGCAAACACACATGGTACTGGTTCACTGCTCCTGATACTGCAGGGCAGGGAACCCCAAGCTCCCAAGATGGGCCCAGAACATCCAAGAGCCAAAGCTGGACCCCAGCCTCTTTCTGTTTGGTGATTCCTGACAAAGGGCAGGCAGGGCTGATTTGTGCTTGATGCCCCAAGGCTCTCACTCCCTCACTAGT